AAATGACATACAAAAAACAGTTGGGGCTGATAACATTATGAGAAACGCGCAACCATATCTAGGACCTAACATGTCACATATCGCGCCCATAGCTAGCCTAGACAAGATACTACCCGAAACAGAGGCAACTCCAGCATTACCAACGTCCATTTTAGTTAAATTAAGATTGTCCCTAATAATAGGGACTAAAGGGGCAGCACCAAAAGTCGATACAAAACAAGTAAAAAATGAAATCCATGAGAGTTGAAACGTTAGTCCATGAGGTTTCGAAAACGAATAAAATTTAAAAACTTTAGCTTTATGTTCAGAATCAACAGGGACTTTGAAATTGGCTGATGGATCAGTTGGTACAATTGGTGAAGCAACTGAAAATGCAAGAACTGGTTCTCTACCAGTAACACCATGCATTGAACTTCCTGGTGATCCTTCAATATCACCCATTTTAGGCAAAAAAACAAAAAAGTGATTAAAATGATAATTAAACAAGATTAGTGAGTAATTAAGGATTTGTATGATGTGTTTAATAAATTGTAACAATTTTAGATGTGTTTATATAGGTGTTAAAAGTAACCAATGGAGATTATGAATGGTCATAAAAAAAATTGTTTAATTTAATTAGTAGAATACATTTTGCCGCATCTGATTATGAATAGTGTTTGTACTTATCGTATATCCCAAAGGTTCATGATTAATAAATATCGAGTTAATTTATCAGATGGTTACTCAGCTAATAATTATTATTACTCACTTAGAATGTGTTTGGTACATAAGAAGGAAAATGTTTTCTCCAATTTTACATATAAATGTTTGGGTTGACTAAAAGTGTATGAACATACACTTCAATAGAACTCAGTAGTTTCGATTTATTTTCATGCTAATGATAACAAATACAACAAAAAATACTAGATTCGTTTTCATCTGTCATAGTTTTGTTGAATAGAGTTACTTGATACTTGTTGCTGATGGGAGGTAATAGATATCTCGTGAAATTAATTCAAGTATGTGCAAATTGATCAGAATACCACAATTATCGAAAATATTATATAACTTGCAATATCCCATGGTTCACAATTATAATGAGTAGTTATCATTAGTCTGACTTATCGTTTTTTTTTTTTTGAATAATTTCCCAATAATAATCGATGATAAACTTTAGTTAGTTGTTGTTTACCTGGTCAATATTGAGTTCATGCAAATTGCAATCATTTAAATTAAGGTCATTTTTATTTGGTTTAAGATAAGGTTTATTTAAACGCTATGAAATGAAATTAGGCATTTCAAAATATGATCAATTAAATATTAAAAATTATATTCTTTGATACCAAACACATCTTGAATGGTGAATGATTATAATGAGTCTCATTAATCAGATGGGTACATAGAATTAATTCCTAAATTAATTAATTAATAATCCATGATTGAACTTCAATTTATTTAATTGAGTATTAATTAATTGATAATCCATGATTGAACTTTAATTTATTTAATTGAGTTGACAATTAGAAAAAATGAGCTCAATGTACGGAGCCAAACAACGTACATTCGACATACCTTTTGACCTTGGCTTTTCATATTTGAGAAATTAATTTGAAAATATAATTATTTAATTTTATTAGGCTCTAGATGTAAATAGTAATATTTATATATTATCATTATATTTTGATATAGGATAAGAAGCAAAGCTAAATATTATTTGTTTACTAACTAATATCTTCGGGAGAAACAATTACTTACTTTTACAGAAAAAATATTGTGCTTCTATATAAATAATCTTTTATCATTCAACTAAAAAAATCATTATCTTAAAAAAATCGTGTTCTTTATCGAGAAAAGTTAAAATAATGTATATACTTGTGTTTTCTAAACTAAATATACTTATGTTTGGTCTAACACATTTAACTTATATTAAATGTCACAATAACATAGAATATGATGTCATAATCTTAATATGAATAAAATTTACTACCCTATGAAATATGAAGAACTATCTCAACTTTTATGTATGTTAATCTATGATATTTTCAAAATATACGTTATCAGCTCTGTTTGAACTCAAATTTTTATAAATTCATTCTTGATGATCTAATTCATTCTTGACAATCTAGTAAATGATATTCATAGTTTCTATAAAGGCAAGTGTCTCATTTTTTGGAGGTTAGGGGTCTTAAACAATTCAAGATTATTACGACTTTTTATGTGTATCAATTCATGAATTTTCCAAAATATATGTAGATCCATTCTGTTTGAGCTCAAATTTTATAAATCCACTCGTGACAACCTAATAAAAGGTACTCATAGTTACCTTAAGATCAAATAGAGTCGATCTGTCATATTCTAAATAAATCATGGACTAATACACAAAAAAAAAACTTAAATAATCCAAAATTCCTTACAAGTTACAACTCAAGCCTACCTCTTTTTGCTTGAAGTTGTTTGACATTAAATCTGAAATGTAGCAGTCTAGTTTTTCTTTTATATATAATATATGTGTAATTTATATATAATAAGCGCATAATCTATATATATCGACTAGAAAAAGAAAACAGTAAATCTGATTTAGATAAAGATACCTTCTTAGATTGAAGAGCATATAATTGTTAAGGGCATCATAACACATGATGAAGATAAGGATATCGAACATATGCTACAGTCTAATGCACAACAATAAAACTTTGCCAAAGTTAAAACTAACAGCAGACACATGACTAATTTTTTTACCATACTACAATAGTAAATTTTTCGAAACTAACCGCGATCTAGTTTTGATCGTTCAAGTCCAAGGAAGATCGCGGTCCTAATTTTTTTTCTACTTTCAGAACCAGCTGTGAAGAAATAAACGATTTCCTGCGGATCAATTGCTTTGTATTTACCTTTCTATCTATTGTTTCCATCAGAACGAACAATCAGGCATTGCTGGTACTTCCTCTTCTCCTTTCAGCTGGTTTGTAAAGCACAACGGTAACAAACTTTGAGCGAAAACGAGAAGTTACACCGACTGCCACGACTGGTCCCTGGGCTTGTCTGTCCTCAAGGTAGAGATGGTTTAGAACCACATGTTGTGGTGATGGAAGCTCTGCAGACTGATCCCTAGTCACACTGGGGTGGTTCAATACAGTAGTGTGCAGCTGTTGTGGAACCATTGGTGGTTCACGAGCATCATCTTCATTTCCAGGATGAACGTTGTTGTAACTTACATCAGGTGATGTTGGTATCTCGAAACCTGTCACGATAGCTTCATCCTGTGTGTATAACTTGGATTAAGGCATAGTTTTAACAAACAATAGTACAGTCAGTATGTATGAAATGTGCAACTTACTTGAGCTTCGCCATATCGATGTGCTTGATTCATGTTCAGTAAAACGAAGAGTCCCACAAACTGAAATAGAGAAATGAAATCCTTTAATTGACACAATTCAGAGCCTTATAAATTGAACGTATGCTTAAAAGACATAACATAAACGGAAAGACAATTCAAATGAACAAAGACAGTGGTACAATTATGTTTCCCGGTTATACATGGCACCTGCCATGGAAGAGAATGAACGAGTTCAATGATCGAGATAATTCAAATGAACAAAGACAGTGGTACAATTATGTTTCCCGGTTATAAATGGCACCTGCCGTGGAAGAGAATGACCGAGTTCAATGATCGGCTTTAATTTAAGATGACCAACTTCAAGGTTTCAACAGTGTTATCAAAAGCAAAAAAGCTCCGAGGTCTGTTGAGGCTTTAATGCAAAAGGTGCAAAGGGAGAAAAATACAAATATATATATATATATATATATATA